AGTAAGCGTGCGCATGATTACGATCGCATTGTCTAATACAATTCCAGTATACCTTGAATATTAAATACCCCGAATATACTCTCTCACATACATGCACTCTGCAATAAACCGGATTTTGCAAGGACGTATAGATTCATTTCCGATCATATACCAAGTAAATAACTTGTTTTTTTCTCTAAAGAAACCAAGAAAGAAAAACGGAGAGAGGACAAATATATTTTATAAAACATATTAATATAAATATTATTAATTTTTTTTTTTAATATAATCATGTGTTTAAATTTCATTTAGATTTAAATATATAAGAAAATTTTGCATTATTGTATAACATCGTAATCATGATTTGTAAAATTTGACCGATTATGATAAAAATTCATGTATACGTATATATAAATTGTTAATAAAAGTTTATAATTAAAAATGAATAATGTGTCGAGAGTGCGCTAAGTTAACGGCTTAATGACGATCGTTAACAATAGTGGTACAGTAGTGGGGAAAGGGAATTATTGATTATGCGACTCTTCTGGTTAGAGAGGGAACACATTCTCTTTCTTTCTATTTTTCTCTCTTTCTCTGTCTCTCTCTCTCTCTTTGGTTATGCGTCTCATTCATTTTATCTGTCGTTGGAAAAGGGCATATAAAAGTATAGAAAGACACCAAGAGGCACATTTCTAGCCTTTTTTTTTTTTCTTTCTTTTCCATTTTTTTTTTTTTTTTCTTTTTTTTTCTTTTTCTTCCGTAGAACGCGGTCAAGGTGTTCGCATACTTGCACTTGGTGATACATACTTCGATCTGCATAAAGAATTATCTGTAAGGTTTCCTTATCAAGGCAACTGAACTGATTAAGTTTGTCCGGTGATATCGTTTGTAGGAATAGTAACGTAACTCTATGCATTAATACAATTCAAATTGCATCAATGTTATGCACATATATATTAAAAGTATATCAAAAGTCATGAATTCAAAGAAAAAATGTTATAAGAGAAATGATTTTTCTCAATCACACAAATTTCTTTTATTTATAGTTATATATATATATATATATAATTTTCTCAATGTTTTCGAATTTATAACAGTGATTTATTTTTCATTAACGTTGACGTTATTTGAATATGTATCTAAAAGATATATGGGAGAGTAAATGTATTTTATATTTCATCAAATGTACAGAAAAATAATATGCAAATATAATAATTATTTGCTAACTTTGAAAATGTGAATTAAGCATTACGTAATAATTTTAGTTATTGTTTACTTTAAAATATGATTAATTGATCGTTGTTTTAATTAATTAGAAATATTTATATATTATCAATATATTCATATAACAATAAACTGAATTATTTATTTTCATCTAATATTTTCATTTTGTTTATTATATTAAATAAAATTTTGTATAAAAAGTATGTTACAGCAAAGAAATTATTAATAAATAAGGTTAAATGAAATCATGTATCCTTGTTAGCCATTTTGACGCCATCTTTCATATCTGACTCTAACTCTATCGGATCTATTGGATTCTTTATGGAACCGTTCACATAAAGGCTTCCGTTTTGAGTAATGAATCGGAAGACCCTTTTCCCATTGAAGCATGGTGAATGGTTAGGATGTACTCATATATATACTTAGAAGAAATAACACAAACCCACCACTGACACATCTTCTTCGTCATCACATTTTCTCACTAACTGAACTCAACTTAATCAAGTTTATCTTATCTTATATATTATATACAGGGTGTCTCAGCTGATCTAGGCTACCTAAATATTTTCTTTATTTTAAATGGATATTGAAAAGTGTATAAAATATATTTTTTGATTGGTTTTTATAAAGAATTACATCATGGAAAATTTACATAGATCGATTTATCGTAATCTTTGAATAACTAGGAACATTAAAAATATAATCAAATTGTTATACAAGAGATGATTTTTGTAATTGAAATTAATCGAAATATTTCTTACAACCTTTCTTTCATACCATTTATAAACAAAGAAAATATTAAGATTGATTCTTTTTAGTTCTACGAATGTTTAATATTTTAATATGATTAGAAAATATTTTCATTATTATTTTGATATAATTGCAAATATATTATTACTATTATTATTCTACCCTTAAAACGAGTGAAATGAAATTATTTCGTTATAAGAAGTTTTGTTTAACAAAATTCAATACAAGAATGTGCGTTTACTTTGACTTTAAAAATGAAAATAATGATTCAATATAAAAAGAACTGCAACACATTTTATGGATACGATAAACAATAAATGAGAAACAATTAATATCGATTAATTTACATTTTATCACAGTGTTGAAATAATTTCACCTAAGAGAGAACAAAAATTACATTAATTCCGATAAACGATCGACAGGATGGAAACTTTGTGTATCTTTTAAAAAGGACTCACTGAACCATTATCTTCGTAAGTAGGCTACAAAAAAAAAAAAAAGAGAGAAACAGAGAGAGAGAAAGAAGGACAAAGATGGTCTACTGTACTTGTTAGCAAGTCCTTTTTTACTTACTTTTCTTCTCTTTGTCGATACATCGATCGTTGCCTTGGAAATCCGTCGAACTTTTACAAAGACAGAAAAGTTTCTGTGACAATAAAAAAAAAAAAAGGAAGAAAGAGAGAGAGAGGGAAGCAAAAAATATAAAATTGATTGACAAGATAAAAAACTATTAAAACGATCGCTAAACATTTCTTTGAATTATTTGACGATATAACGAAATATTAATTTTAGTAATAAAATCGTAGTTAGATATTTAACAGATTTATTAACACGTTGTATATTACATTGTAATTTTTTTCATTTCTTTTATTTTTTTTTTTTCAATAAAGAATCACGTGCGCTACGCATTTATTTTACTGGAATGTTATCGATAATTTTTTATGGCATTTAACGTGTTAACATTGTTTGTAGTAAATCGATATATTTAATAAATTCGCTTACTAATTTTTTTATTAATTAAATAAATATTTTTTTAATTTATAATTTCTCTAGATATGTATTTTATTGAAAAGTTACATTTACGATTTTTTCACGAGCTCGTCTAAATAAACTTGCAATTTATTTTAATATATATCTTTGTAATCTGAAAGATAAATGATAAACCATTATTACTATTACTATTGTATTTTAATAATACTTACATACAATATATAATTAAATTTCAAGCAGAATCAAAATAATTAAAAAAGAAACCTACATAAATAAAAATAATCTTTATCTAATTATAATTTGATATTTAAAATATAATATAACATATAAACTTATAATAATTTAAAACAATAATAATTTGCCGAACTTATTAACAAATGATTAAAACTCGTTAAAAAAAAAAAATATCTACACGCAGATAATTCAATTTGTTCTTTATAAAATAATTCATTTAATTTTTCTTCAATAATACGAATAATCAAACTCTCCCTCTGTGTTCTTTTTTTTCTTCTAAATTTTATTCGTTCCTTTCTTGAATATAATAATAATGTTTATTATATTTTTCAATATTCTTCTTTCGTTAAGTACAAGAGTTTTCTTCTTTTTTTTTTTTTTTTCCCCACAACGGTACGCGCGCATTCAAAGTTTCACCATAATTGGCAATGTGCTCGGTGGGTGCTCTCTGGTTGCTTATGTTAAGAAAGTGCCACCACAAATTGGCACTTCGCCTGCTAAACGTCTAATTACAAACGTACAACGTACTCTTGATTACGCGAATCATCATTCGCGGGGGTTTTAAAGTCTCGTTAATTCAGTTTTACTCCGAGCGTAACTGTGAAAATCAACGAGTTCATTTTCGTAAAAGGAAAAAAAAGAAAGAAAGAGAGAAAGAGAGAGAGGGAATAAAAAAAAAAAAGATAAAGCATATTCGTGCTGTGAATTTAATGAAAAAAAAAAAAAAAAACAATTTTAAAAGAAATAAATTAAAAAAAAGAAAAAAAAAAAAAAGAGAGAAAAAAATACAGAGATGTGAAATAACGTTCGCGTTCAACACGTGTAATTTATTCTTGTTATCTTTTTTCTCAGACGAATTTTTTCTCATTTGACAAAATATGATTAAATGATAAAACCAACGGAATGTGACAAAAATGTTTTTATTATTTAACGTCGAATAGAAAAATAAATGTTAAGAAACAAGCGTGAAATAAATGTTCGTTACCTTTTTTTTTCTTCCATTTTATCTTTGAAATTATTTTCTCGAAATAATTTCTATGATTCAACAATCGAATTTTAATAATAGGATATTTTTTGTCTTATCATTGGATATATTATAAATCGAATAAAATAGATTAAACGCGAAGTGTATATAATTTGTCGAATAAATGTCATCGGTATTAATCAAGTTAAGTTAACCTCCTCCTCCTCCCCCTCCCCCCTGACAATGACGAAGAATTTAATCGTTACAAATTACATCTCATTCCTCTCAGTTCGTCATATCAATTTCAATAATTATACAAATATACGTAAGCCCCAGATTGATAACACTCTTATGGTTATATAATACAAATATATATCCAAGGATTATAATTATTATTCGACGATAATCTATTATTATCAATTCTCAGCATTAGTGATGAAAAAGCTTGTAGTCTGAAGTATCGCATGTTATCCTTTTAATTACTTATTCTACGGTTCTTAAAAAATTTACAGTTCATTAATTAAAGTGTAAGAATTCATTTTAACAAATAAGATAGAAAAAAAACTTTATCGATGATTTATAAATTTTATTAAATTTACCGTTAAAATTTTATTATATTTACCATTTTATTAATGATGACAACGAATCGGATATAATAAATATTATATCTTACACAGGTTTTATATACGTATTAATTTTTGTGTTTATTGATATAATTATTATATTTAATTAAAAATAATATATTATATAAATGTTTTATTTCTTATAAAAAAAAAGATTAAATAAAATAAACAATTAATTATAGATCAAGTAAGTTAATTAAAAAATAACCTCAAAAAACTGTGACTCGTTGTTTCAGGATCGGCGATAGAAAAATTATGCGAATGTGCTATGGAAGACAGTTTAGCCGACCGTGGCTCAGTTGTCAGAGCAGCAAGATGTCTTTTGGGTTCGGTTACGAGAGTCCTTTTATTAGCGGACATAGTCGTGGTGAAACAATTGCTTTTAGCGAAGGACAAGGTTGCCCGTAGCCTTGGACGTCTAGAAAGTGTCTCGAATTTCACGGAATTCGTTAAAGCGTTCAGCCAATTTGGTGCGGAAATGGTGGAATTGGCTCACCTTACTGGTGATCGTCAGGTAATTATTTGCAAAATATTTTTATCAGGAAAAAAAAAAAACAATCGTAACACGCTTGTTCGAAAATATGGATTGATTAATTGTTATTAATAATTTTTTATTAACACACGATCTAATATTAATAATTATATAAATTTTTGTCATTTTTTCACAACCGATGATTGTGAAGGATTACAAAAAAAAAAACAATAGGTTTGTTCAAGTATTGTTTAATGCGTGCCACGTGTACCACCGGTGGTACACCCTGATATATTTATTTAATACGTTAATATGTGTATGAAAAATAATAATTAAATAATTATATTTGAAACGATTCATTTCTATTGGATTATTTAGTTATAAGTATTTGTTGTTTTTTTTTTTATTTAAATTAATTATTTCGATAAGTTTCTTCCATCGTTATTAATTCATAGAATGACCTGAAAGACGAGAGACGAAGGGCTCAAATGGCCGCTGCCCGACAAGTTTTAGAAAGAAGCACGATGATGCTACTCACATCCAGCAAAACGTGCCTGAGACATCCTGAATGTCCTTCGGCGAGGGAGAATAGGGACACAGTTTTCTGTCAAATGCGAAGAGCGATGGATCTAATACATTACGTGGTCAAGGATGGTGTCCTCGATTGCAGTGAATCTCAATCTTATCCCAATTCTCAAGTGAGTAACTTTTTAATCAATAAATTATTCGATTGATTGGCCAATTATTTTTCTTTTTCAAATGCATATTTCAACAATTTTCCCCCTATTTTCTTTTATTTTTATATCTAAAAGACAAATCTTCAAGCACAGAATTATCCTACTTTTTCAATGAACAATTTTATTTTGATTATTTTATCCATATTTTTTTCTATACAAATATAATTTTGGTTCAATAAAATATTCGCGTTAGAATTTTATATCGAAATAAATATCACATTAGTATTTTTCACATTACTTATATATTGGATAACTCAATATTTCCATTATCATTCTTAAAAATATCTAACATGTCAAATAACAATTTTTGATAAATCTATTTACCTATAGAAAGAAAATAATAAAGTAATAAAATAGACAATTTTTCGTAATATCATTTCGATCATCATCATCATTATACTTTGAATCTAAATTGTATCATTCGATTTTTGTTTTATTTTTTTTTTACTAAATCACGAAACAAATCTAAGCTTCTATACAGATAATGTTATAACAGAAATGTGATATCGAGAAAATGTTTGTATCGCGTGATATATAAATCAAAAGTACCAACATATATATATATCTATCCATTCTATTGAAAGAAAAAGAAGAAGAAGAAAAAGAATTCGTGAGGATCGTTAAAAACAATGTCGAAGATAGAAAAATAAGGTCGAGAAAATGTGTTCTCTTTTCTCGTAACTTCGAAAATACGTTAGTTCGTTTTTATCTTACTGCATAAAGCTTACAGCCAAAAACATGACCTTTCAAAGTCTTCCAGTCGTGATGGCGCCTAAACTCTGACATAATTTCTCTCTTTCTTCTAAAAACAATATATACAGGGGGTGCCCTATAAATCACTTTATACTCAACTGAAATAATAAAAATACATTTTTGGCAATTATATAAAATAGTAGTAGCATCATTAGCCTATTTTCTAACAACACTATAATTTAGTATATTATACAAATAAAATAATAATGTTGATTTATTATTACATTAAAATGATGTTACTTGCATAAATCTATTATTAGAAAAAGAAACAAATAATTGCATTATTTTTCTCATTAAAAAAATGTTAAATTGAAATATTTATTATATTTAAATTTTGTCCCTGGAAATTAATATCTTGAAATGAAAAAAAAACAAATTATTATTGGTATATATATAATTCTATTAATAAACCAATATTTATTATTTTTAGCGATAAAGTAATTTTTGATATACACTCTATATATATATATATATTTATTTATTATATATATCATATGCACACGTATTTACGTACATAGGAAAGATAATAATTGATTTGGAACTGAAAAAGGGAATACTTTTACGCGGGTAATAAAGTTTATTGTAAATTACCGTGTGAAATGGTTGTCGTAAATAAACACATACATATGCATATCTATTATTCTTCTTCTTCTTCTTCTTCTTTCTCTTTTTCGTTGGTAGAAATGAGTTCGTGCCAAACAACAAGAAGGACAACGATAATAGGGAACGCGATGTGTTTGCGTTTTCTATCGTCTAGTAATTTCTACGTCGAGTTTCACTTGGTTTATTCAAATGGTTCTCTTGTAAATAAGAGAACCAAATGACTCGGCCGTCGGCCAACTTTCTTTAAGCTGTTTAACAATTCACTACCTATTTTACATCATTGTTCGACACTACAAGTTAAATTTCTAATATATTGCAACGTGCAATCCACTTTGCATCATTTTCATTTTAAACTTCGTTATTAACTAGTTAATATAAATTATATTTCTATTTTATTTAATCGTTAATTTTGTGCATATTAACATTTGAAATAACCACGTAAATTCTCTAAATTTATCTTATTGTTAATATAAATTAATCTCGTATTTATTAAAAAAAAAAAAAAACATTTCCTAATATTACAATTTTCAATATAATTTGCATATATATTTTTTTTTGTATTTTGAAACTAACAAATAAAATAAAAAAAATGAAAATTAAATATAATAATAAATTATGAAATTTATAATTATTCTGACATTTCTTTCTTTAATCTCTTATACTCTTGAATTATATAACATTATTAAACAATTTAACACGAAGTATTAAAACGAAAATTAAAAAAAAAAAATCATTTCGTAATATTCAATTACAATGAATGCCATTATCTCATTTATTTTTTGTTGTTGTTCTTTTTAATGAACGGTATCGATCTTTATCGTGATTGATAGAATCCACAGCAAGAAGATTGGGACAGTAGTACGGTGTGTTCTGCATTGAAATATTTTGAGAGGCTCGTTGAAACCACAAGGATGACCCTATTGGGACAAGGTTGTCGTGAAACACTGACATCAGCCCTCGACACAGTAGTGGAAAGGACCCAGGATTTCACTGACAGTGCTTACACGAGTCACGAACACCGTGAAAATATCCTTCTTCTATGCGATAGAGCGAAACTTGAGTTGAACACTCTTTTGCGGATCGGTAACAGTATGGTAAGGCTAAATTTTATTATAAACATTTGTATATGTTATTTAAAATATTAATAGAAAATATTTAAAAAAAAGTTTCATCCTATACTTTCTTTCATTTACTTTGTAATTTTATTTTTAAATAGTATCCTATAACAATTACTTTCCATACTATGTGAAATATTTAAAAATAATAATTCTTATTTTTTCTAAAATGATTATATACAAAGAAATATTTAAAAAACGATTGTCCCTTTATATTAGAAAATTAGAAATATTTCTAAACAGTTTGTGTATGATAAAAAGAGATTAAAAAAAGTATATTAAAAATCTCTCTCTCTCTCTCTCTCTCTTTGATTAATTAATTTCTATTGTTTTATTTTTGTTGTCTTTTTCTTTTCCTTTTTTTATCGTTAGAACTTCGAAGGAGGTGGATGTTCACCAAGCTCAGAGATGGAACAAGCAGTATTGGGTGTTCTTCGAGCTACTCGTGACCTTCGTCAACAGCTTACTACCACGACGATGGAACAAGCTGGTGACCTTGGACAGGTGACCAAAGCCGGTCAGGAATTAGTCTCGACAATTAGGAACCTTGCTTTGGCTAATGAAATCGACCGACTTCAAGAGAGCAGCGATAGGTTTCACGAGTACATCGAACATATTCTCGAAGTACGTGTAGAGCTTCGTAACATTTTTTTTTAATCATCTTCAAATAACTTTATCCTCCAAAGCGTGACTTGAACCTTACTTAAACGAACCCTTTTTATATACGCGATCACGATCTGGGATAATATTTGACAGGATTTTCAACAACGTAAATTTTTCTTTCCAACTTATTTTTTTTCTCATTGCATGTTTTCTTTTCTGTATTCTTTTTTTTTTTTTAAATCAATATTCCACACGAATATTATTATTTTCAATATTTCTTTCATTGTCTCTTTCTCTCTCTCTTTTTATCGATTTATTTATTGATAATATTTACACAAAATAAAACAAGAAATAAATTTATGATGATTTAAATTTATGATGATGCGTGTACGAAAATCTGATGATAACGCGAAGAAGAATAATTTTTTTTTGATCGTATTATATATTTACATATATTTTTGTACTTATTAAAAGTCAAATTATATTTATATATGCGTTAGATTTTGAAAAAAAAAATGTTGAAGAATTAAAAGAATCTAAGAATTAATTATGCATTAGTTACAACAATTAAGAGTTAAAGATAATAAATAGTTTAATTACCATGGATGTTTAATTACAAACATTTAGGTATGCAAACTCTTGAGACACGTCGCACTCTCGGAATCCTTACAAGTTTCGGCTAAGTTTACCGAAATCAACCTGAGAATTTACGGGCCTCAAGTGGTGACAGCTGCGCACACGTTAGCTAGGCATCCTACTAGTAAAATTGCTAAAGAAAATTTAGAAGGTATAGTTCTTACATTATTTTTACTTATGCACATAATTAAAAGACATTAAATCATTTAATTAACTTTGTTTTAATGTGTTCACAGTTTTTGCTGATATGTGGCAATGGTTGATGACCGACGTGACAACAGTTGCTAAAGACGTTTTGGAATTGAGTCAAAATCGACCGGAAAAACAGGTCTACATGTCATTGCCAAGACCAGGTGTAAGTTTTATTAAAAATCATATCAAATTTATTTTTCATTGACGAATATTAATAATGTGATTTTAACGAAATCCATATTCTAATCTTTTATTATTTATTTTTGTTTTTTCATCAAGAAAAAAAAAACACTATACTTGCAGTATAACTTTTTTTGGATTACATTGCAAGAATCTGATATAATATAACAAAACAAACTTTCTGAATTATCATCTAATTATACACGACTAATGTAAACTTGTGTTTTAAAATAATGAAATAATGCACACGTGTGTTATTTAACATCACACATAAATCTATCATAATAATATTACGAAAATTTTCAAGAGATATAGTATATATAATAATTTAACTGTGTGTGCATTAATTAAAATCTAATATGGAAATTAATTAAAATGACGCGTATTAGATTATCCAACAAAACTCGTAGACACAGAATTTTAATTTACCGAGACTTTTTCGAGATATATGACCTAAAAATAAAATTTAAAGTAAAAAAAAAAAAAAAAAAAAAAAGGAGAAATAATTATCGCGCCACGTGAAAAGGATTATATTTAATTTACATTTTATAAAAATAATAATTGTCAAAAATCTATCATATTATTTCGTATTTCATTTATTACACGCGAAATAGGTGATTTAATAATAAAAATTGAAAATGAAATATTTTGATAATCGACAGAAACACGGTACAACGAGTAAACCATTGAAACCAGTTAGACTGGACAGCGAGGAACAAGCAAAGATAGCGAAGGCTGGCCTTGAGATGAAGCTGATTACATCGGAGATGGATGCTGAGACGGAGAAATGGCAAGAGAGTGGTAGTGCACTAGAGGAGAACAACGACATCGTTAAACGTGCTAAGAATATGTCGTCCATGGCTTTCTCGATGTATCAATTTACAAGAGGGGAAGGTGCCCTTAAAACAACTCAGGATCTTTTCACTCAAGCTGAGTATTTTGCGGAGGAGGCGAATAGATTGTACAAGGTTGTGAGACAATTCAGTTATCAGGTACGTTTGCAGATTCATTATCGATACGATCGATCTCATTTATCGATCTATACATATATATATATATATACATTATATTATATATAAGTAATTACACATATCTATATTTCGATTGGAGTGACGTTTTAAACATGTTCCTTGACACGTGTGTGCGTCTTTGCGTGCGTGGGTGCGTGTATGTGTATTCTTATATTCACCTTATGTATAATATGTATATACAATGTATCTCTATATATATATACATATATTATATATATATATATAGATATATATGTATCGTTATATAAGATCCTATTATCAATGTTAATCGAGTATGAGTGGCGTGTATGCGTGCCCGCGCGCGTGTTATATTACCACCCCCCTCTTTTGTCTGAGCCCCCAGCCCCTCACCCTCTTCTTCTTTGTCTGAGTCCCCTTAATCTCCTCTAATTTATTCGATCATTCTTTTTACCATTCTATTACGGATTCAGTATTGGACTTGATTCCGAATTGTTTCGATATATCCTTGCTATATATATATAGATATACCTACCCTATATACATATATTTATTATTGATTATTATGATAATGATGATAATTATTATTGTTATTATTCCGAAAAAAAAAAATCTCTTTTTACCTTACACCTTACGCTATTGAGTTTCATTTTCTCGTAATCGCAATTATTCGTAGCCACGTCGAATCTTAATAAAAGCTTGTTCGTATCTTTGCGTTTGAATTAAATCTATTCGAAGATAATGAAATTATGAAAAATGAAAAAAAGTTTTTTGGGTACAATGATTCGAAGTGACTTCGATACGAGTTTATTAGCATTAGGTATGTTTGAATTAATACGTTTGCTGCCCTTACGAATCTCCTAGCTAGGCCAAGTATTGATAGTTCACCCGGTACCATTTTGATATCTCTATCTATCTATTTATCTATCTATCTATCTATCTATCTATCTTTTTTTTTTTTTTTTCATTTTTTATTTATACCATTTTTCTTTCTCTCTTCTATCTTTCTGTCGCTATTTATTGAAAAGAAATTAAACGAGAACGAACCTTGTAAAATGTTTTGTATTATAAGACCCCTTTTTTATAACTCCCCCTTCGTACTTGAATGCCATCCATCCAGGTAAATTTTTCTCTCTTTACTTTAGACCCTCGTTTTGGGGCTAATAGTTATCATACAATCAATCAAACAATCACCTTGTACAAATTCATTTCCATTACTTGCCTCGTGCATAAACCGCTAAATAAGTGATTTGCGAATTCATTATAATTCTATACCAATGTTGTTGGGTGTTGTTCTAACTTATAAATCAACACACGTGCATTTCATACATATCTACCTACCTATCAACAACAACAACAACAACAATAACAACGACAACAGCAACAACAATAACGACAACAACAAGAAAAAAGAATAAAAACACGTACACATATTATGCAAAACATGATCTATACTTGTCATGCAAACGTATGTACATAGACCTATGTATTATATCCATAGGAGAATTGTTGATTATGTTATTTTCTTGATTTTACTTTTAATATAATTATCCGTCTATTTATATTTGAATGATTTGAATGGTATTGAGAGAGAATCTCACCCATCCTATTACTTTGTTGTTATTTATTTATTTTATTATTTTTAACAAGATTGGCGTTTCGTCGAATCGCAATCACGTTAATCTTTTTGTTTTTTTTTTAAATAAATTCGAAAGAAAGTATAGAATAGAATTAATAAAAAAATATATATATATACGATATTTAATTGAATTATTAATCGATTAATTAGAAAAATATAAGAAAAGAAAAGAAACAAATATAAAATATTTGTGATCTAACACGTGTGCGTCGACGATTACAGCTATCTCTATTCTCGAAACAATTTTCTTTCTCATATTTTGATATCTAACTTGTACACACATGTTACTATGATTATGATTTTGTTGGTAAATTAACTTTATGTACATACATTTACCACTTTTTGTGTACGATTAGTAAGGTGTGTTTTAGATGCTACGGGAATGCTTCCGTCTCTGGACGACGTCTATGTGCATTGTGGTCCCCCTCCTTCCACTATCTGGGGCATGAGTATTATGTCTCAAAATTTTTGCCAGCTTCCGAAAATCTCAATATTCCACGTGATATTCCAAATTTTTGTTCTTTTCTCAAAGCGATATATTTATATATCCATATATGCGGACGAGATCAAACATTTATAATTTCATTTGATTTTTTATTTGATTTGATTTTATTTCGGTTTCATCTTTGAAGAAAATTTTTTACTAAGTAGATACATTTCAAACGTATTTAGACGATTAGAAAATTAGAACTATTCTCGTCTGCATGATTGCTTTGAGATTAATAATAATAATTCATAGTAACATACTGAAAACGCGGTATAACGTTGAATAATTAGAAAAATAAAAATTAATAAAATAAATGTAAATAATATTAATAATATACTATCGAGAAGCTTGCGAAAATAAAAAGGTCTGTACTAATTCACTGTCATTCACATATTCATACTAATCTTTTTTCTCTCAAATGATTTTTAATAGTTTTACGTTTAAAAGTTGTGCATTGTGTTCCATTAGGACCGATAGATGACACACGGTCATTTCTTTCACATCTTAGCTGCATATTTATATACATATATACATATCTATATATTTATGTTGTATGTATGTTATAGTTATAAATCGTGAAGGAAAAATATATAATATTATTATATTAAAGATATTTCATTTAAATTGTATGTGTACTATATTATGCATAAACTATAACATATATGCATACATACATATATATATATATATATCTCTATACACATATTGATATGTATATTCGTATCACGAAATAAATATATATTATATCGATAGTCTTTATTAACAACGAACTATACGAAAATATAGAATCAAGCATTGCTTGAATAATATTCGATGATTATAGCGCTATATACATAAATATATAATTTACATTCACGCAAAGCAAACGCGTTCACAATTTTCAACGATCGTTAATAAAAACAAATTTAGCAAAATTCTCATTAAAAAAATTTAAAAAAAAAGAGAAATAAATAATTTCATCGAAAGATTACTCTCTTGTTGTTTGAGATAATTAAAAATATATAAAATTATTTGGGTTATATGTATACATTTTAAATTTTTGCATATTATATGATTTTTGTTATTTTCCAAAAAAAATATTATATATTCAGATGCAAAAAAGAAAAAAAAAAGGGCGTTATTTTATTTCGTTGCAATTAATGCCGATTATTTATTATTATACCATTGTTAATATCGATCGTAAAAAATTGAATGTCGATTAGAATGAGTTTGCTTTGCGAGAGTAAATATGGCATAAATTTTTATACGATATTGCATGGGCGCAGGTACCGGGTGGACCGCACAAGAAAGAACTCTTAGAAAATCTGGATCGAGTGCCAACATACGTGCAGCAGTTGCAATTCACCGTGAAGAACCCAACCGTCGGTAAAGCGGCGACTTTTACCAAAGTCGACAACGTTATACAAGAGACAAAGAATTTGATGAACGTGATATCGAAGGTGGTCACTACGTGCTTCGTCTGCGCCACAAAGGTGAGACCAACAACGAACAATAGATCGTTTATCCAAAATCTTTCCCAATTTTTTTTCTTCTTCCAACAAACATTTTTTTTTACGCTCGGGGAATATAATATGCAGCCAAATTGTTTTTTTGTTTTCATTCACAAATCCTTGGATTTTTCTTTTTCTCGTTTTTATTTTTCAAAGAAACACTTCGAAATTTCGCAAAAATCCCTTCATCACTTCTTCTTTCTATTACTTTTTTTTTTTTTATAGATTGTTATCATTTTGGTTGTTGTTGTTATTATTATTAATTTATCTCACTCTCAGCTCGCGGTAGATTTTGATTTTTCATTTTTATCGCTCAGTCGCAACGCAATGTTTTATCAAATATATTTTGTCATTTGCAATTTAATTTTTATATCCTTCAAAAATATATAACGTTAAAAGTTGATTTTCTTCGAAGAAGTTTTCCTACATTTTTTTTTTGTTTTTCTCTAAAATTTATCCCAGGATATTTTTGATAATCGTGGATTACGATAAAAAGAAGAGTGAGAAAACAATATTGCAATATTCTATATCATTATATATTAGTTCATGTTAACGTTTATTCGTCGATCAGCATAACATCAACATGCCGCAGTTCGTGGATTTGAATCCAACACCGATGCCAGGGCAAAACGAAGAGGATTGCTTATATCCGATCAGTCCACAATTACTTCCGTCTTCTTCACCATACGTTCAACCACATCCATTGACCACAGCACAGTTCCATAATATCCTTCGTACTAGTCTAAACCTTTCAACATTCAATCCTTATTTTAACATGGCTCCAACTACTACGAATACAACAACTACGACTAATACGACAAACACGAGAACTTCGACAACTAACAACAATCCTAACAAAAGTTCAACATCCTTCGTTCATCCCTCGGTCCTACCATTCTCAACAAATAATCCAACAAACGGGCCACAACAGCAACCATATTCTCTTCAAAATCTCCACCTATTGCAATTGCAATTGCACCAGGCGCAGCTGCAACAACTGAGATATGCCAGTCTACCAAGATAACAACATGAGACGAACTGTCGTAAAACGATACGAGTATTCTTCACGAGTTTTTCACATTTTCCTACGTGTGAAAATGAAAGAAAGAGAGACAGAAAACTTCTCGTGTATTTCGTATCACCAAAGGTTCGACCTTACGTTTTTAATTTTTTTTTCTTTCTATTTTACATCCTTTTAACCCCCCTTTTTTTCTCTCTCTCTCTCAAAGCTTCGCTTAATATATACAACATTTGATGTAATTTAATTTTTCGTTAATTAATTTATTTATTGTGATCCCTGCCCCCCTTTAACTTTTTATTTTTTATAATTAGCCTACGTTTAACGTGCTCATCCTTTTAGCTTTGGCTTGTTAAATATTATTTAATTTTTCTCTTAATCTCGTTTGACTATTTTTTAATGTAATCTAATACGTATTTCTCAGCTTCGACTAATCAGGATGGGGGACAAGCAAGTGGGAGATGGATAATACACAATGGGGAAATATATTAATATTAATATTCATTTATATAAATTATTAATCAATTAATTTCAGATATTTTTTTAATTAGGAATGCCAACACTATTGCGATCTTTTCTAAACACACTTTAATGCTTCTTTATCGAGATCGGATATTACTATATATATTATCGAAATATAATATATTTTTCTTCATTTGTTTAAAAACAATTTCGTAATATGTGATCTCGGTTTAACCAATTCGCTTTTTTCTCTATTTCTATTTTATCCTTATTAAACAGTGAGAGTAAGTAAATTGATTTTGATCGAAGAGAAATAAAACAAAAAAAAAAAAGAAATAAAAATATACACAAATAAATATGAAAAATAATATATTCAAGGGGGAACCGGAAAGTAATGTCTCATTTCCGCGCATGTCAATATTCGTTTATGATTTATCATCAGTTCATTGCATACATTAAAGCCGTGTTTGAATTTGATGTATACAAAAAAAAACGATATTAATTTCCGGTTCCCCAAATAAAGTTGGCAACTAAGTTCCCGTCGTTTCTTTTTCTTAAATCTTAAATAACATTCAATTTTTAATTTTTATCGAAAAATAAAGTTTCAACAAAATTTCAACCCCTATATCAGTAGTAAGTCACGTGAAAAGGTGACAAACAGTAATTCATACCTGCTGGTCATAAGTTACATGAGTGGTGACAAGACAAAAATTAAATAATAAATAATCTCATATATATTTGTAGTACTTCTTCTTCTTCAAAAAAAAAAAAAAAGAAATAAATAAATAATTACTAATTAAATTAATAACGTTATTCCTACAATACCGAAAAATGTTGTTGCATATTTACTTAAACCGGTTACAATTTAATGAGAATCAAGCCCACCATATCAAAAAATAAGGGTTACAAAAAATACTTCGGGAATTTAATTACCAACCCAATACATAATAATAAATAATAAATAAAAAAATTAAAAAAACATACAATAAGAACAAAAGAAGAGTAGGAAGACTAAGAAGACAAAATTGGAATATAATTTCAGTACAACCTGGATTTCCGAGGTCTGTCGGCGCGTGGGGCTGGCGGCTCGCCGTACAGGGGCGGAGAGGGTGGAAGCGGTGATGGGGAAGGTGGAGGTGTTGGTGCCGACGGCAGCAAGGCGGGCTCCGCCCCCGGCAGCGATCCGTCTGTCTGACAGTTTGGGATGGCCCGACGGGCCAAGGGGGACGCTCGCCGCACCCGGGTCTCCTTTCTGCTTTTTTAGGAAGAGCCTCGCCTGCCCCACAGTGGAACGTACACGTCGATGATGACTACTACTACTACTACTACTACTACTACTACTACAACATCATCATCATCAACAAGAACAAGAACAAGAACAACTACTACAACAACTACTACAACTACAACTACAACAATCAATATATCACATTACTATATCGATCTCATTAGGATCATTATTGTCAACGTCATTAGTATTACCATTGTCATCATCATCATCATCATTATTATTATCATCATCGATCGTGTACGTACACAAATCTTCTTCTATCATCACGAGCTTGCCTCTCTCGGTCCGATTCCAATCGCACCACCCACTCACCCTCCATCTTACAAAATATTCCATCGTTATATTTCTTTTATTTATTATTATCTCTTTGAATACTATTAACTCTATTAAACACTATTAACTAAATATATTCATAATATTTATTCTCACATATCTCTCAATATCCCCATCTCCTCGTTAAATCCAAATATCTATCTATCTATCGTGTTTAATCGTTTAAACAACCTCTAACACCCATAATTAACATCAACGTCATCGTCATTCTCACTTCTTGTCGATCGATATTCAATCGAACCATATTTATATCTTATTCTAATCCACACGTATTATCCCATAACTATTCCCCTTGACACATCTTATATAGATTTTTGAAAATCATATCATGCATTATCAACAACACACACACACACCTACATACACATACACGTACACGCACACACACATAAAACTCGTTTGAATTTTATTATTAATACTAATAAATTAATTCGAATTTCTCTCGAGTAATACAAATGATGGGATGATGGATGGTTCATATCGATCATACTGAATTCATTCGCGTTTTCGCACGATTTACACATACTCGAGGCATACTCGTGATATTTTTCATCTAACCAAATCGAAAAATGATTTGTCAATATTTGTTAATATCACGTATGAATTATCTCTCGAGAATTATAATATATTTCTATATAATATAAATAAAAAAAAACACGACGTGTACGTTCCATTCATCACTCGCGAATGCTTTTACGAACATCGAAAGAACAACAACAACAACAACAACAACAAAAGCAAAAAAAAGCATAATATTCGATCACGAATCACGTCAATGCGTAAAATGATTAATCAAGGCTAGGAAAAGGGAAAGAAAGAAAGAAAGAGAGAGAGCAAAAAAAAAGAAAGAAAGAAAGAGAAAGAAAAAGATTGCTAATTAACAATCGCACGCAAAAAGGGCACGCTAGCTAAAATGCAAGAGCCAGCGCACGCACGCAAGGCACGCACGATTATTATCGTCATTTAATTCTGCTCCGTTAGTAATTAACACGTGTGAAACCCTCGTCGAATAAATAATATCGCATGGAGTTCGGCTGATCGATTTAATGAGCTCTCATAATGCCGCATATAATAAATATATAATACGTAGATCTTTTTCTAATAACGAACTTTTTCAAACAAATCGAATCCGATCGATTGATTATTATCTCTCGTATTTAAATATATAAATATAATTATATAAATAGGTATTTTACATAAAATACACATAGGTATTACGTACGATACGTTAAAGTTATACGAGTGGGGGGGGGGAAGGGAAGGAAAGGGGGAGGGGGAGGGGATAAAGAAAAAGGAATTTAGTAAAAGTGTGTGAAAGAAAGAAAGAAAGTAAGTGAAAGAGAGAAATAAATATACGTTCATGTTCTCGTAAACTCATCTACGTGGGAGGATAACAAAGAGACATAATTTTCCAAAAAACAAAAACAAAAAAAAAAAGCAAAAACCACACGCGCACGAAGATGAGAAAAGATGATAATGTACGTCGCACAAAAAGTTACAGTTAAAAACGGGAGAGAATGCGTTATTAATTGAAAGAATTCAAACGAGAAATAAAAAGAAAAGAAAAGAAAAAAATGACGATGATTTTAATAACGAAAACACAAGTAAAATAATAATAATAATAATAAATAAATAATATAATAAACGTTCTTCCAAAGCCGAGAAGTTGGTGCAACGACAATAATTAACAGCGTCGATATGGAGTGCCTTTTTTTGGGTGTGAGAATAGAGGCTGACTTCCACTTCCATAGTTACGCCAACTTCGGTTTATGAGAAAGTGTATATGTGTTTTGTGTTTGCGCGTGTCTGTGTTTATGTATGCGTGTTGTGTTATTAGACTCGTTTTAGCCGAGATGTGATTAGAAAGAATAAAAATTTAAAATGAGAAGGATGGGATGATATATTTTCCTTTTCTAAATATATATATATATATATATATATGAAAAATATAAAAGAAGAGGAAAAGAAAAAAAATAGGTATCGTTGTTAAGTTAACTTTAACGTATCGTGCAAACGCCATTTTTTTCTTCGAGGCTGTATACGCTTTTTCGAAACAGCAGGTGCCAAAGAAAGAAAGAAAGAAAGAAAGAGAGAGAGAAAGAAAGAAAGAGAGAGTGAAAGTAAAGTAAATGAAATACAGTAATGAAAGTTCGTGCGAATTATGACACGCGTTTTTTATAACGATTATTATAATAAAAAGAATCATCTGAAGAGAAGAGTATAAAACTATGAACAATTTGGAAGAAACGTTTTTGTTCATTCGTTTTTAATTTTCGCATAAGATTTGAAATGTGAACAAATATGAGAATATATTTTTATTCTCAAAATTAATTCAGATTGATAAAAAAGAAAATCGTATTCGCTCGACCTTTCAAATGTAATAGTTTTTCTTCTAGGTTTTTTTTTTTTGTTTTATTTTGTTTTGTTTTATTTTCTTAATTTAAAGGATCAAACGATGCTTCTTAATAAATATGCTTGCGTTGGATGAATTAAATAAATGGTTAGTGCGCTAAATTAGCTCTAAACGCGAAAATAATAATAATTATTATAATAATAATAATAATTATTATTATTATAATAATAATAATAGGAATGAAACAAACCAAAATTTTGTCTTGAAGTGAAAAAGAGATAGATAGATAGAAAGAAAAGAAAAGAATAATATTGTAGGAAAAAGGATTATATCAGAGTGGGGCAGGAAGTGGATCATTGAAGGTGACCTGGGGGCGGCAGCAGGGCGGTCAGGGACGTACTTTGTGGCAAAGATCAAAGCCCTTTTTGTTTTTTTTTTGCGAAAAACACCACCCGAGATATCTCTCTTTCTAATCGTGTATACCTAAATATTAATTTATGTACGTGTTAACACGTATATGTAATTTCACATACATATACCATATTATACCGTACACATAATTATACATATATATATATATATATATATGTATGTATATATATATATATACATATTAAATAATAAACTCGACTATATTTTCTCTCCAGAATAAAAAAAAAAAAATAAAACATTAACAATAACGTTTATATATTATACGTTGATAAATGAAATGTCGAGCGTTCGTGCGTTATTCCCTAATTAAGAGAATTTTCATAACAAGAAAGAAATGTATAATTTAAGAAACAGGACGATAATTATTTAAATGTTGAAAAAAAAGAAAAAGAAGGAAAAAGCAGAAGTAAAATGTGACAAATGTATGAAAAATCGAAATTCAATATCTCGATTATATGTAACAAAACAAAGAAGACTATAAAAATAGAGACAAACCGACTATAATATAAAAACAAATACATAAATAAATACATACTTAAAAATACGTATCCTTCGTATTTCGCGAAATTAGAAATTGATCGTAATTAATAAGATCATTTTCTAAGCATATTAAGCTTTTCTCTCGCGATAGTAAGTATGTAGTGCGTTTTTTAAAAACGATGAAATGAATGTAAAAGATGAATGAAAGAAAGAAAGAAAGAAAAAAGAGATCCTCATGAGTTCCTAAAATGTAAAAAAAAAAAAAATTAAAAAAAAGAAAAAAAAAACAACATAATAATGTGTAGTTCGACAAAGAGATGAGTAAAATACTCGGACACGTTAATATACATACATATATATATATATTCCTTTCTTTTTTTTTTAATTTTTTACAGTCGCTTTGAAAAAAAAAAAATAAATACCGTAAAAATTATTCTCCACTACGTTCTTATATTTATTTATTGTTAATATTTCAAACGTAGCTTATTTAACCATCGTTTTATTATTATAATATATTATATGTTTTTTTTTTTTCACTAACACAATAATTATCAGTCAGTGAAATACAAAGAAAAAAAAATAAAGAAAAAAAAAAAGAACAAAAAGAAATGAATAAAAAAAATGCGAGTATTTTACTCACTAGATTAATTAATAACGAGCGTTGGAACTTTAGCGCTAAACGAATTACAAAACGCATAAGAGAAAGAAACAGAGAGATTGAAAGAGAGAAATAGAGAGAGAGAGAGATTGATATTAAGAGAGAGAGAGAGAGGAAAACACTCTTTGTGAATCTCGTGCGCGTTAACCTCGCAGAATGTAATTCGAAAAATTGTATAACTTGTATAACGCGTTTGTACAAAACTCTGTATTATATTTGATCGCAAACTTGTAACAGGCTAAATAGGGATCTCCGATTATATATACTGTGTAAAATTAAGTGCTATCATTTTTTATTATTATTATTATTATTATATTTTTGTTTGTTAGTCATATACATATATATATATATATATATGTGTATGTTATATGTATGCATATATAACCAATAACGCTGCACAAAAATATTTTGTAAGACGAGGGACTTTCTCGGCAGTGAAAAATATATCGTGATCGTTTTTTCAAAATGATCGCGATTGTTTAATTTATTGTTATTATGTTGAAATATCACGTGACACACGGGTACGAATGGAGAAAAAATGGATAGAAAATTAATTAGAAATAATACGAGATAGTGAATTATTAGAATGAAAATAACAATAGAACAATATAATTTGTCTCCATTCGAAACAAACTTTGATTTTTATTACATTGATTTATTTAAATATCGTAATGTTGTTTTTTTTTTTTTTATATCGAAGGTAGGGTGGTAGTTTTTTGAAATATTTGAAAAATTAATCGTTCTTATATTCCTGATCCGGGATTGTTTATAATTATACCGATAAAGATGATAAAAGGAGATGACTCTATGATAACTTTAAAAAACAAAAGAATAAACGCGTTAGAGAAATACAATTTGCGTTTGGTATTTCGTGTATTACACGCATAGATATAACGTACGATACTTAAATAAATAAAAATAAAAAACAAAAAAAAGAACTAAATATAAATATGTAACATCGGGGAAAAAAAAAAGATCGATCGGTAATGAAAATTTTGAGACAAATTTAATTATGATAAATCGACACATACGAAGGAAGACCTCCTACCATACACGCATACACGTAAAGAGATTAAAGAAGAGACGATAAACAATTAATAAATAATAATCTCTCATCTAAACGTGGTAATTTCGTTAATATTAACATTACACTACTATAGAAATATATAATACATGTATGTATAATTATTTACTTACGTGTAAAGACTCGAACGTGAAAAACCGAATAATCATTTTTACGAATATGTGAAAAAATCACTTAGAAAAAACACAAAATCGTCTCTCTGTGTAGTGATTTTTATTAGAAAAAAAAAAAGAAAATAAAAATAAAAAGAAGCCAAGAGAGTTAATCGTGAAAAATCGTGTATTTTACCCGATAATTATTCGCGGTATATGATTCTACCTCAAAGTAAAGAAAGAAGAAGAAAAAAGTTAAACGCGTCGTTTTAAAAACTCTCGTCGTGACGTCATGACGCCATAAAAATTCTTAACGATTTGCACGAAGTCGTTTGATTGTCGTTAAAATGCATAACCGAGGGACACTCTAATACTTGCACAAATCAATTTACATTTTTATTTGATATTTTTTACATTCTTCTTAATTTATTATATATTAATTTTTACACATACGTGTTTATTATTTGTATGGAAATTATTTTATAATTTTTAATAATTCGTATATATATATATATATATTCAAATATTTCTATACGTTAAATTACATATTTTATTATTATCGTTATGATTTTTGTGTTTATCTATAAAAAATAACAATCGATAAAATTTTGATCTTCAAACCCTCTTGAAAAGAAACAAACTAAAATATAAAAATGGAAAGTTCGAACTCTCTTACTTAAAAAAATAATAAAATATAAAAATTACCAAAAAAACCAAAAAAATAATATAATAACAAATAAACAAACAAACAAACAAACAAACAAACCATAA